CCTGCCCTACCCTCCACCCCCCTGCAGGGGCCAACACCAGGGCCTGGGAATCCCCTATCCAGCCCCTCTTCTAACTGCACCCCTGATCTCTGGGGTAGCTGCTGAAAGCAAAACCTCACCGCCACACCCCAGGCCCGGGACCCACCGTCCATGGCCCACAGCTGGGTGGAGAGGGTGGCCTGCAGGGCCCGGCCACTGTCACGGAGCCCGCTCTCCAGCTCGGCGCGGCTGCGGTTGGCCAGGTTCTCCTCCATGTCGCTGGTGCAGCAGGTGTAACTCTGAGGGCAGACCCGCAGGTGCTCACCTGTGGGGGAGGGACCGGGTCAGGGAGGGGCTGAGGAGCTGTTGACTGAAGGGTCCCAAGATGAAAAGGGGGCTGAGCCCGGCACCTGCTCCCTGCCACCCCCTATAGGAGAGGAGGTCCCCTCTGTAACCCAGGCAGAGGGCTGGCCCTGGGGAGGCCACGGAGACCCTCGCTGAGAGTCAGGCAGCCTGGGGCCTAGACTCAGACTCAGCCCCCAGAGCAGGCCCAGCCCAGGACAAAGAGCAGCCAGTGACCAAGGACAGGAAGCATGGGTCTGAGCTGGCTGGCCACTGCTGCTGGGGGGACAGATGGGCGTGGAGGCGGCCCCCCCCCCCCTCCAGTGGGGCGCGAGGTCTCAGGCTGAGCGCTCTGAGTGTGTGCTGTTCAGCTCAGAGGATCTGGTGGCAGGGCCTGCGGATACCTGCAGCGGTGCCTGGGGGCAGCTGGTTAGCTGGGGGCAATAGGTGGGTCCATTTCAGAGGTTTGGTGGGCAGAGGAGGGACAGTGGCCCCTCCCCATGATGCGGTCTGGGCCTTGGGCAGCTCCCCCTTCCCCACCTTCCTGAGAGACCTCGTTGGCTGGGGCCATGAGAGGTGGTAGGAGGTGGTGGCATGGACATCCCAGGGAAGGGGAGGGTCAGCAAGAAGGGGGCTACTAGTCTGGGACATCGGAATCGAAAGAGAAAGGAGAGGCCCATGATGGCCACTACCAAGAACCCCAGGGCAAGTCCCATTCCCTAACACACACACCCCCTGCCCTCCTTAGGACTGTACATTAAGAGCCTTGTGGTCCCTGCTGGAGGTATCTATCTGAGGGGCCCTCTGTGACTCCCGACCCATGTGGGACTGACCTGGAGCAGGCAGGGGGGCCCAGAGGGCTGAGACCTGATCCCCAACTTGGGTCTGGTGAAGGGGGCACAGGTGAGTGTCGGCCCAGCTGCCCTCTCGCCTGCTGAGTGGCTGTGACAGGCACAAGGAAAGCATGGGGACCAGCCAGCCTCATCAGGGACTGCTGAGGACCATTCTGAGGCTTGGAGCCTGGGCTGAGGGGTCTTGGTGGGCTGAGGGTCTCAGTGGGGAGTTGGGGGGTCTCAATGGGCTTCTAGGTGAAGATTTCAGAGTCACAGGCAGTGAGTGGGTGGCAGCTCTGGTGGACACTCCTCCCCCAGACCCCGACCTTGAGCTGGCCCAAAACCCAGAACCCCCCCAGGCTTTCCGCCATCCCTGCTGGCTCCTCCATCCTGGCCCCCTGGAGGGATAGTGCTCAGGCACTAGTCATGAGAGAGATAGGGCAGTCATTCCTACAGAACCCTCTGCCCAAACCCTGGCACTGCCAGCCTGCACACCGACCCTCTCTCTCTACCCC